TCTTCTGTGACTGTTACTTTCACCCCTCCTGCTTCCCCCCCCTCATTCCATCAGCTCAGGTATTTGCTAAACCCACCAGCAGTTTCATTTGCTACAGGACATGTTTTGCCCTAAAAAATGGCACTGACCCAAGCCCATCAGCATAAATTAACCTTGTTAAAACATAGGTTAGAAATGCAAATATTTCTGGTCAAAAGGAAAGCAATTCTGACCTGGTCTTCTCCTGGGAAAGTTTTAGCCATTTCTGACCAGGATTATATTCACTGCCTGGTGTCTCATCACTGTCCCCGACACACTATGGCAGATATTCAGACTCCAAAAAACTCCTTGGACTTCTGGTTTCTCTGCCAGCTGTGGTGCAGTCTCTGTCCGGAACTGAGAGAACAAACTCATTCCAGCAGGCAACCACCAAAATTAGTGTCCTTTTGGATTTGTGTATTTGCACTGATAAGGAGTTTAAGGAAAGAAAGAGAAGGAAAAGGAAAAGGAAAGAGCGAAAACTGTTCTTGAGATCTCACACCAGGGAAGTTAGAGGTAACTCCGTAGAAACCCCCATAGCTCTGCATATTTAAGGCACTAATAACGATACTTCAGACAGCATTGTCACACATATTTTAGAAGAGAGGTTTTTCTGAAAAGGGATGTGTGAACATAATGTTACACATATCACCCTGATCCTGCTTAGTGTGCTGTTTGCGTATTGAATTTGGTGAGAGTGGCTGTTATTTCTGGAAAAATGAGGAAATACTCTCAGCTAATTCCCCTGATTGTGAGCATCTCTCACACCCATTATTTATTATTTTCTCCAGCAACGTAATTTTACGTTCTTGGGTCCATTCCTGTGAAACGTCAATCACCTACAATTGCCATTGACATCAAGTCATTCTTTTAGACACAGAGAGAAAATACGGGTGATAGTGCAAAGCTACTGGTTTGAGCCATTCATGCAACTCTTTTTAAAACTTCTTCTTAGAGCAAGGACTTCATAGATCACACAGCGCATTGCTTACCCTTTCCTTCTATTCACTGAATCTCTCCTGCATCCTAGTTTGTTTTGGTGGGGGTTTTGGTTTGGTTGTTTTTTTCTGTGTGTGTGTGTGTGTGTGGCTTTTTCCCCCTGCCTCTGGAAATCACTACGGCTTCATTTCAGCAGGGATACACATCTCTTTTTGTAAAGCTCCCAAGTGAACATCCCACACTGGTTTCCAGAGCATTTATTTTGATCCTGAAAATTGCAGGCCTCAGGTAATCATCAAACCCACGAGTTTAAAAACATTACTACCTTGTTCTTGAATCATCAGAAGTACTATAAAATGTATCATTATACTTTGCTGCTACAAGCTGGAGAACAAACAAGGCAACAGAGAAGAAAACAAGTTTCAAAAATTATCCTGCTGGTCAAGAAACCATTTTCTTATGTAATAATTTTAAAAGCTTAAACCTTCCTTCTCTTAGTGTTTTTGCCTGCAATTTTAAGGGCTTTTACACTTAACATGTTGCTTCAACAGACAAGTTAAATTGGCCAACTAAGTGAATAGCATCACTTACTCTTCAGCTGTAGGAGATCATAAGGGTAAGATAAATGATGAGATATAAAAGTGGGGGAGAGATGAATATTGTGGCTCACAGTGTTCTGGACTGGTATTGCTGCCACTAACAGCAATAACAGAAATGCATACAAGTATCTTAAGTTTTGTATTATTTTTAAGTGTGAGTATTCTGGGAAGACTGAATGAACTTAAAACCTGTTTTTCTGAAAAAGAAAATCCGGAGTAAACCGCATTCAGCTATAATATAAATTATGTTTTTCAGATTTTAGCATAGGGGCACAGCAGTAATATTTTTTTCAGAATTTAATACTTAATTTGGTACTGAACACCAACAGTCAGGTCACTGCCATTTATTACATATTTGAGCGCACACACAGGCAGTGTAGGTGAACAACCATTCTCCATGGTGTTTTCAAAGGCAACCAACAGCTCGAACAACACTGTTCTAAAATGAGAGCAAAGGAAGAGCATTTTTTGGTCTCTACACGGTTCTTGCGCAGGGAGGGAGCAAGGAGGAGTAAGGAAGAAGCCCAGCAGGTTGCTAAGGCAGAAGGAGCAGCGTGTCCCCACTGATCCATTTGTGCTGCTTCCGGGACAGTCTCCCTCTCGTGCAGGACGTGAGCCATGGCTTAGAGCAAACATGCAACAGAGCTCACAGAGTAAACTACCTTCAGCTCTTGAGTATCCAACCCTTTACGTTCTAAAAGAGGGAAGGGATCACAGTTCAAACGCTTACAAGTAGGATGTCTTCCACTAGGGTTTCCAGGCTGCCGTGCAGTGCTGAAGCCCCAAAGGTGTCCTGGGACCCCCGACTCCTCCGACCACTGTAACCAATGCTAGAGAAGGCCATCATGCTACCTCGGCCATGTGGGGTTGCAGAGCAGTGAGAGAGCTGCAATACCACACTGCTGAATCCCAAAATATGCATGGGGTGGTGACAGGGGTGCCTGAGATGTATGTGCGGGCGAGGCTGCGTATTTTATTTTGAAATGAACTTGCTGGGGAGCCAGGAGGTCTCTGCTCAGAGCCTTTGCTGGGGCCTGAGACAGCTTTGGGTGGCATCTCCTAGAGCAACACCACAGACGGTGCTGAACCTAATCCAAGAGCTTCTGTGATGTCCAGTTACCTCACAGGTACTATTTATTTATGTATTAGAAACTTATTGACAGTTATATTAGTTATTGAAAATAAATCAGGGAAAGGACAGTAGCCATGTCCAGTTTTTCTTGGTGTGTACAATCCTGTTTTGCAGATCAATTTTTATAAAGTAATGAGAAAAGAAATACCTATTCATCCATTTATAAATCCATTTGTAATAACTCACTCAAGGATCACTGTTCTACTCTTGTTTCTCGCTGCTTCTCACAGCTTGATTCTCAAGTGCTTTACAGCAAAAAAGCTCTACCAAGGACCCTTCACCCCAGTTTTAAGACCACTAACATATTAAAAGTAAAGCTCATTTTTGCTCAGACTTGAATCACAGCAGCAACACTTACGTTAGTATGAAGAAGTTACATCATTAAAAGCAAAAACCAGAAACGATTTAACCCCTCAGCTAACAGTACTTGCTCCAGATATTCAGCTGAATTTGTAAAGCTACATTTGAAGGCAAATGTAAAGGAAAATACGCAGTTATCCTTCTCCATGAACTTACTTACATGGACAAATCACATGAATGATTCAAGAGTTAATAAGAATGTGATGAACTGCCACCACAGAAAGTAGTAATATAGTTCACAATAAAAGTAAATTCTCTCATTTTTAACTTTTGATTGAAGTTATGATAAGAAAAAATAATTAAAAATTGTAGATCATCTTCCCCCAGCATTTCACTAGAAAACTAATGGCAGCTCCAGGCTGGCCTCTTTCCAAGCAGCAGCATGTGCATGGAGCTTGAAGAGAAGTTCAGCATTTATGTTGCCGGTACCCCTACACAACAGCTCCTGCACACTCAACAACAACAGCGTCCACCGGCCACGGCTCCCATGTTTTCTTTTCCTTGTTTTCTTGGCCAAATAATACCTCAGAGAGCAGAAGCTGGGTGTGCAAACTGGCTTGTGTGTTGTCACTAGCACCCTGGATGCCAGTTTGGAAGCCCTCACCTTAAAGCTCTTCTGCCACCAGTCTGCATTTCCTGTGTGATTTGCTTTCTGCAGTCTTGCCAGTAGTCTATGGCAAAGGAAACAACGGAGAAATATTTTGAAGCTCTGACAACCACTCCTTCATTCAGGATTACACCCTCCTTCAGAAAACACCTCAGAACAAATTAACATACAATGTATTTTTAAATTCACTGTGTTTTGCTGGGAGTAAATAAAGTTAAGAAACAAGTTAGATTCATAAACGAAAATGTATTTCACCTTTTTACATGCTATACAGGTCATGCAAATACAGAAATCTACAGGTTATACAGTGACACCATAATAAAATATAATGTGACATTTGCCAAACACAACGTATCACAGCAAAACAAACTGGTTTTGTTTGTTTATTCTTTAGGAAACAGATGAAGGACTAATTTGGAAGACACAGTACCATGCTACAGCTTACTGCACAGTCAAAAGAAAGTCTTTCTCTGGAGTACACTAACATAAATAGAGCTGGGTTGTTGTAGGCATGATTTCTTTATACATCGCACATAACGTCATTGGTTACTTTCCCGTTGCTGGCTTTACAGAGCACAGGAACGGGGCTACAACTGAGCTCAAGCTACACGGTGAACTCCCTTAACATGTGAAAGAAAACCCAAACCAAAAGAAATAAAAAAGAAATCCCCCCGCCTCCAAGTTTTCACTTCTTTTGTGTTAGTGTCCAAAGAGAGTTGTGTTTATAATTTATTCTTATAAGGAACTGGACAAAAGCGTCCTCAGAGCAGCACATGATCAGGCATAAAGTTCTCATAGTTCACCAACAGAAATAAAGTTAACACTGTATAGCACATAATGTCTAGACATGATACATCTTGGCGTGAATTTTTCCATACAGATGCTTACAGAACATTGAGGGGGGCTGGTGGTGCTCCCCTACGCACATGCCTTAGCCTTTGTGTTTCTGCTGCAACATTCGCATAATTGTTTTGCTGCTGACTAAATCTTGGTTTGTTGAGCCTACAGGAAGCCAAAAAGTACTTCTCCACGTGATAGAAAGCCTGCTGGTATTCATCAAGTGTCTGCATCTTCAAAGCTTAACATGTATCTCACCCACCGACCACTCACTTGGATCTACTACAGCTATACTATATATATTAAGGGATTATACTTGGCATGTTGCCTACTTTGTTTACAGATGTTACACAAGTATGTTTTTAAACACATAATTGATAGTAGCTCCCGGACTAATTAATATTAACCTGTAAGTGCCACTAGTGACTAAAAGTGTCAACAGAACCATAACGGGATAACTCCCACACTCCACAGTCAGTAAGAAGGCTCTTTTGAATCCAGCAGCTGTATATTTTTCAAGCCTCTTCAGCTACAGTTTTGAATTATACACCTGCATAAAAGTTACTAGTAATTCCTTATTAAAGACAAAAAAAAAATAGGCACAAAACTAAAGTACAGAATATTATTTCATTTCAATGCACCGTGGGCAAACCTCATCATTATTTACAAGAAAAAGATGTCTAAATAGATGTACGATAAAGCTTAAGGAAGAGTAATTTCAACATAAAATGCACAGGTGAAAATCACAGTGAAGTGTTGAGATGAATTTTAAATTAAAAAAAGAAATAAGTGCTTTATTAGCAGCTAAAGCTCAAATCCTAATGCACTCTCAGTCTTCCCTGAAACCATCGAGGTTCTAGATCACTGGTTTCTGCCCAAAGCAGCCAGTTACTCAACATATTCCCTGGGAAGACAAAGGTATATTCAGCTCTGATTATTTGAAATCCAGTGTTCAAGGACTGCAGAAGCTTTTTCAAGTGACAAGCTCATATTTTACTGCCAGTAGCATCACAGGGACATATCTCCTCCACAAACTGCTACCTCTGTCAACTAAAAAAAGAGAGAGAAGAATATCAAGTCAGCTGTGCAAGTCAGATGACCTCGAATTTGTAATTTAACATACATTCTTGCAAAACAAACAAACAAACAAAAGCCAACCGTGACTTTGGCACTGAACTTTGAAACTGTCACTAAAGCCTATTATGCTTTTTTCAGGTTGTTTGCAGGCTTTCCAAGAGAAGTGATTCTACCCCGTGCTGCAGTATTCACAGCAGCAGCAAAGAGCAACACTACCATTTTCTAGGCTGGCCTCACTTTTAACTGTTTTCTTCATGCAAATAGGCTCCAAAGACTTATAGGAAAGGTATTGTATTAATGAATTTAAAAAGCAACTCTTCTCACTATATTCTGCATGTATAAAGGAAATGTTTCCATTTACCAGATACTTTTGATTGCTATGATATGCTCGGTTTGCATATGATGCCAATTTACAAAGAGCTGTAAATATTAAATACTATGCTGAGTGTATAGGAGACCAGCTTTCTTCTTCTCTCCACGTATGCTGTTTACAACTGCTATATTTTTCTGGGAAGCTCCTAAGTAATGACTGCAATTTATCATATCTAAGATGTTTATCACAATACTGTACCTTTATCTGTTCTGCTGAAAAGCGAGGTGGTCAACAGATAGAATTAAGTGTATTTTCCTGTCCTGGACTGTTAAATCCCTCAATCAAGTTTTTGTTACAGTCATCTAGGCTAATGGTATCACTGGACATCTTGGAGTACGTAGCTTGGCCTGTGAAATCCAAGAGATCTTCAAGAGCCTTGGCATTACTTGTCCCATTTTGGTCCAAAGAAACACCGGGCATGAGTTCATTCATGGGTGAATATTCGGGGATAGAGATAAGTTCTTCTTTTGAAACAGGGCTATACAAAAGATAAACGAAAGGAAGATGCAGAATAAGAGGTAACTTTTCATTACACAACAACCAAATTAATCTTCTGACTGTCCAAAAACTACTACTTATCTCAAGGCCAGCTGCAGCCAGCCTTTACCTAGAATATGTCCCAATCCAAACAAAAAGAGGTTTACCCTGTTCAGGATGGAAGGTCACACCTAATCTATAGTCCTTAAAGATTAAGGTTTGTGGTAGCTGTGTGATGTGAACACTTATCTCCTAAAAGCGCATTTCTAGTCATTTACTGCCAACTCATAATTTCAGTCTCTGCAGCATTCCCTTACTTAAATGTTTATTGCATCTTGCAAATTATTGACCTGATGCTGCAAACGCTTACCTAAACCACTCACACGTCACAACTTAAATAAGTTACCAGTTTGCAGAAGAGGAGGCAAGGGAAAGATTTCGCAGAGATTTCTGAAACCATGAAGGGGTGGTGGATAAGTTGAGGGCAAGACTACTGTTTATCAAATCCTGCAATACAAAACCTAGGAGGTGCCAAATGACACTGTTAAGAAACTGGGTGTAACATGAAACAAAGAATATAAAAGGTGAAAAGTAAAGTATTCCTAAATGAAAGAGAAAACTTTCTGTGTGTCTAATATTAATTCCACAATTTCTGTTGGTAGGTATGGTCCGTACCTCACATCCATGGACTGAACCTCATCTGCTGAATCTTCCATGCTGGCAGATTTCCCATCAACAGCTTCCAGCTGAATAAGTCCTGAAACTGACTTGAGTCCATTAGCAACTACGTCTTGGGAAGGGATTACAGAGGCAGCAGTTTCTAAGCTTTTATTTTTCAGGCAGGTTGCCAATCCATTGATCTCTATGAAAGAAGGTTAGAAATTATGATAGTAGCAACTTCTTTATTTAAAGAGTTTTTTAAAAAAATCACAAATGCTTTTAAGGTACAGACTGAGTAGAAAGGAAGCCTGACAATGTAGTAGGACTCAGTTTCATCTATGACTCATCATACTATACTGTCAATCCCTTTTTTCCACTCTGAAACAGCTCTTTATGCTACATCTTTTATATTTGAGAAAAGAGAGAATATATTATCTTTTATGTCATATACTAGAAGCCTTTACTTACTGGGGAAGTAAACAAAATACGGATAAATGCCAGACATGTATATTTTATTTCATAATTCTTTAAATATATGGATTTTTTTCATCAAGTCAAATAAAATGTAAGATTTAAAGTAATGCTATAAAAAGTTTGCAAGCTTGGTTGTGTGCAAGGATCTTCTACCTACAAAATTCGATGGTAGATTGCAGCAACCAAACCAAATTGCCAGATTGGAACTCCTCATTTACAGAAATGCTATGTCAGGCACTAAGATGGAGGAAAAACTTTCTTCTGCTTACACAGCAAAACAAAGCTGAGTCTCCAGTTTCTAACATTTGTCACTGATGCAAATGTAGCTGTTCTCTTTCAGATGAAAGCAAAGAACCTCTAATAATACACAGTGCTCTGACTGAAATTACAAAACTCCGAGAAGAACTGTGAAAACAGGTCAGAAAAATATGACAACTTTTACCTGGCTGGCTGAGAACAAGGGCCCTTGGTTGCTTTTCCACATTCAAAGTTGATGGTACCTCCAGTTTTGGCTCTTCCTTCTGTAATCAAAGTAATGAGTCAACTGTATCAGGCAAAGGACTGCAACCTTCACAGAACTGACTGGACTTGAAACTTCTGAGACTGTCCAGGGCCACAGGGTGGCCAGAGGTCATCAACAGCAAGAGAGGAATCTTTTTTTCCTCCTTTTTAATTAGGCATAAGATTTTATTTTAAGTTCAAAAAGAAAACATTGTCTGGAAGTAACTGAAGAAACAATTTTCTTAGTAGAAAGCTTAGAACAGAAGTGAAAACTTGACCCTGTCTCTTCCTAGCTGGACACAACTGCCTTTTTCTCAATCCTACATTCCTGGCAGGCTTCACACCGAGAGCTCAGTAACCAATTCACTGGCTGGTACAAAGCAGGAGAAGATCTGTCACAGCAGCAAACAGCACAGCTCCAGCAGCCAGGAATGGGCTCTTGCCCCATTCCTAAATCATAAAGAAGGCTGTAACAGCTGCATAAAACTGTGTCTCTGTAGCAGTGGCACAACAATAACTGTGACACAGCAACTGTCATTCTCGATTCGAAATGCCACTAAAATTTGGGTGCAGAGTGTGTCTAAGTACACCTACTAACATGGAACTACTCTAAAGTTTAATTTTGCCCACATATGGGCAATAACACGAAAGAAAAAAATCCTGCAACCACACACACTGTTTCATACCTTTATTTCTGGTGTTTCACTCCTCCTTGTTCTCTTCATTATTTCATCTATTCTCTAGAAATCAAAATAAATCAGATGGAATATTTAACACAATGAAGGATAAAGGAGAAAAAAAGTCAAAGAGAAAACATTTTTTCTTCTGTCATGACCTCATCCCTGCCTGTCTTGAAAAGGGAGAGTAGATAAGAAAAATAAAGAAAACGAAATACAGAAAACACATGGGAGCTGGCTTACACATATCAGATCTCACAGAGCATGACCTTCTCCATAGATGCACTTTAGACTCAAACATTTTAATACCAGGTGTTAGCAGTTATGAGCTGTGCTCAGCTCTGGAACTGCCATTATTTTCACCTAGTTGCTTTTCCAACTATTTCCAAATAGTTCCTTTCAAAATAGTTAGGCTTTTTGAAATAGAAAAGTAAAATGAAATATCTGAGGTTATTCTTGCAGGAAATGTGTAAGGTATTACCATAAAATTCTTTTTTTTTTTTCTTTTTTGTTAATTAAAAAAACCCCCTACCCAAACCCCTTGTCTCTTTGCACTACCGTGAGAGGAAACTATATCAGCTTTAAAGACCCTTTGGTTTCCTATTCTAATCTGCAACTGCAACATGCCTCCAGCTCAGTGGTAAACAGTTAAAAATAACATACTGGAGTAACACACATGGAAAGACGACCTTTGATAACCAGACAGAGGTTCTGCAGCTCTGCAGTTGTTATCTTTCCTGCCACAGAGCTGTAGATAAAGCTGAGTTACGCAGCTCCAGCCACTTCGTTGTGCCACACAGCCCTGCTGTCTCTGCATAACGCAAGCACAGAAAAGCCAGGTGGGAGAGAACTTGTTTGTTAACCACAGTGACTTTCTCAGTGACACAGAGCTTTTGTTGAGTAAGTTTTAAAACAAAGTCACTCATGTTCCTCAATAGCCGGTGATGTCCTGGACTGGGCAGCAATTGATGTTTGCCTTGGCACGCCATTCCCTGTTTGTCTCAGGCGTTTAGTTTCATGAGTAGAGGCTAATTCTGTTTGTTCAGTGCCTGGTAGAAAGTCATTTGCCCCAGGCAATTCCTCTTTGTACAAATTTTGATGTCCACCTTCCTCTAACATGCAAGTAGCAAATACTAAATTATGTGTAAATAGCAATCTGTAATCCCTCCTCAGTATTATTTCTGGATACTATTGGGTACTTCCTGGGTTATGTATTTAAACAAGAAATGAAGTAATTATCTCAAATGAGACAAACACCTACCTTCTTCCTCTCCAGTCTTTCTTGCTCAATTTGCTGCATGATTTGTTCCCTTTCAAGACGAAGTTGTTCAGCCGCCTCACGGGCTTTGATTTCTGCTTCTTCCCTCTAATCAAAAATGTGTAAAATATAATAGGGCCATTATTTCAGGCAGATTACCAGATACTATAAAGTATTTATTTCTGTGTGTGTGTATATATATATAAAAATACATAAATATATATAAAAATACATAAATACATATACATATATGTATAAAAATATATTTATATGTGTGTATATATATGTATATGAAGTTACACATTTACGTTTGAGAAAGTACCTGTTTCTCAAGTTTGGCTTGGAGCTCTTTTTCTTGCTTTTCTTTTAGCATTTGTTCTTCCTCAGCTCTTCTCCTGGCTTCCTCTTCTGCCTTTTTCCTGGCTGCTGCTTCTTCACGTTTTCTTTCCTCCTCCTTCTTACGAGCCTCTTCCTCTAGACGAAGTCTTTCTTCTTCTGCCTTTCTTTTCTGTTCTTCTCTTTCAAGCCTGCAAAAAATAGAACAGTCTGTTTAAAAGGCTTCATCTCGTTTAGCATGAATTCTATTATATCTATGACAGTAACTGATAATATATGCAGCAGCACACATTTTCATGAAAAATGCCAAGATACAACAAAGAAGTTGAGCGCATGATCAGAATTCAGGTTGCTATCAAACTTTTATTCCAATCTTATTTGCACTGTCTAAAATATTTCATAGAAATTATAATTTCCCTTGAAAAAACAGGTGTGTTCAAAAGAAACCAATTCCATTCTGACTTCAATGAGAGCTTCAATAATAAAAGCGAGTTTCAATAATAAAAATATCCCTCTTCCCCTGTACTTCACATTCAGAAAGCTGGTATCTATTAACAAGCAAGTACATTTTTCCTTCATTTCAGCTGAAAATAAGCAGATTTGATGAGTAGCAGCAAGCAAAGTCCACAAAACAGTTGTACACTAGAAAGAGTGGGTCTAAATTCCACCTGTGTTGTTCCATGGCCCACTCAGGGACATCAGGCTCCTCTGTCACCACATTCAAGAGCTGCTTTGACAACTGATCATTCTTATCTTGCATATTAGGGATTCAGGAAATATTTCCATTGAGCCAAACTGGCAGGTGCTGGCGATTCTGCCCCAGCCCCCATGTTTTCAACAGGAACAGACAAAGTCGAATTTAGATATGCAGAGTTAGTGGTTTAATATTAGAGGCTTGAAGGAAGGGCATGATTTGTTGACACCTGCAACTGGAATCCAAAGTGGAGAACAACCTAAAAGCTTGTTCCCAGAACAGAGCCAGAATTTCACTGCTTAGACACAGCAGCCTTCATTGTGGCCACCCTCTTAAAACCCTCAACTGCCTACAACCAAGCTGTGTCAGAGATGAACTTCAGGTGAATTTGTTGAATGATACAGGCATATTTAAGGCATATACTATTACTGCAAGACTGTTTCTTCTACATGGACTAGCTCATTTAAAACTGCCTCAAATACTTTTTTACAACATAAAATACTTCATGTATGTCCAGACTGCAGTGTGCAATACACTGCAGTTTGGACACACCAGAAGTATTTGGATGAGTAACAGTTTGTTCAGGCCCCTTAAAGAGGCCAAATTATTATTTTCTAACTTCACTATAATAATAAAGACTGCAAAAGACACCAATGAATTCTGAGTCTAAGTTGAAACAAATTAATGCTTACATGTAAGCTCCCACCCTGATTGTAAAACTACCACAGCTTCAAGCATCTTCAAGGATACAGGTTAAATTATTAGGTAGTAACTTTCATAAATCAATAGATACCTCTCCCGTTCTTCTCTTTCCTGCCTCTCCCTTTCTTCTTGCTCTTTTTGCAGGCGGGCCTGTCGTCTTTTTTCAGCTAGAATTTTTGAAGCTTCTTCTGCATCAGTTGTCCCTGCCGTGATCTTCCCTAGGAGAAGATGGCCAAGGGCAGAAAGTCAGGCAGGGAACAGAGAGGGTGCACAGCACTTCCACACGCACAGAGGCTGAAATAGGCCTGGTTCACACTGGTACGACACCTTTGCTGTTCAAAAGCATACCTCAATGTTTTCAGCAGACAGAATATGGGATAGGTATGGGGATCCCTGGATTTCAGCATTTTCACATGCTCATTAACCAGCACTTTCCATGCATGAGTAACCCTGGTGAAAACTATACATTTACTGGTTCCAGTATTTACCTTTACACATTCTTGTAAGCCTATGACCGAGCAGCTTCACAAAAAGAACAGGTCATCACTGTCTAAAAGCCTCGGAGACCCACGATACCTTGCAACATGCTCTTGCAGTAGGACTCACCTTCACTGTTTTCAGTCTTTCCTGCAGAAGGCACCTGGCCTGCCTCATCAGTGCGTGCTCCCGGCGATTTCTGATGACTGACATTTTCTTTCTCCTTGTCTGCTTTCTTTTTAGGAGTTTCCTGGTTGAGATTAGAAGTGGCACGATGCTTCACAGGAGAAGCTGGATATTGTTTGGCATTTTTAGGAGATTGAGGATAAGTCTTTGCAACTGTCCTGATGAGGGAAAACAAAAATCAAAACAGGTCCTATGTTACACAGCTTGGAATCAAACTCCACATGTATCTTTCCTCTTTCTTGTCTTGGGCTACATAGAGACTATCAGCTGTTTTAGAAACCACCTGGATGCAAGCAATCAGAACCTGAAATGCAGGGAACTGGCATACAAGCAGAAATGATTACAGAAAATTCTCATTTAAAAAGACCAATAATAATGTCTGAGTTGTAGGGAAGAGATATGGAATCACAGACTACCTAAACCAATTATTTCAGTAATGGCAATTTCATAATAATTTTGTCAAGATTACTGTGTTCAGTAATCCTTCTCAACATTTGAAGCAAAGCTATGGCTTCTTTCTGTCTGCAAAAATTATGAGTTGCAGTGTGCTACTTTCATCTAAATACCACCTTGTCAAACATGGTCTTTTTTTCTAACAGTATCTAATTTTCCAAAATAGCACAAAATACTACTATATATGAAGGTAAAGCTGTGTACCACAAAAAGAGACAGGACTGACCAAACCATTATGCTCTGCTGTTTCCCTTAGCACTTTAATCAGCACCAACACAACAGGCACAAGACTCAAAACTCAGCCCTTGCAACCTTTTACGCAGCTGCACTTGTGGTGATGGCAATGCACAGCAGCAGCAATGCAGCCAAATGCTTCTTTGGCTGTTGCATACTTTAGGTGAAATGATAACCTTGAAGTCAGTTCTGGGAAAGCGGAAGGGTAAAGATACTTGATATTCACTAAAAATAGGTGCACATTAAAAAGAACAGATTAGCAGGAAACATAAAACTACACACAAACACCATTCATTATTTATGTGACACCAATAACTAGCACTAAACACCTGTAACATTAATAAAAGGCTGGGCTGTGTGACTAAGTATATGGAAGTGAAGAGATTACAATCTTAAAATAATGATTTATGTGAGTTCCATTAGAATAAATAATCCTACATTAAAGTGAGCATTACTTGTGTAGTTTTAACCTTCCTTGTGGATATGCAATTATGATATAAACTTATTATCCCTTATCACTTTTCTCATCTACGCAATATAGCTTCATATACTAGAACATGTTTTTTGGACTATATACTCAATGTGGCAGACTACAAGCACAAAAAACATGGACAATGACTGAAAATTAATGAACTGGAGTGGTAAGTTTTGTATAGATCTAACGATAGTATTGTGTGGCCAAAGACTATTATAACCGGAACAACATTTGCATTACAGAGCAGACATTAAACATCTTTCAACTCCTCCCCCCAAACTCATAAATTCAGAAGAAAGGGTTCTTTCCCATCATATTATGGTGCACTTGAAAGAGGCTGAGACACCAGAATACAGTGAGCTCATTCAGAGCAGCCCAATTTGTGGGGAGGAAAAGACTAGCAAGTATTGCACCACCTGTACTTGCTTACTCCCACTGAAGAGCCATCACACACTTAAAAGCCCTTGGGCTGGTGCAAGAGTAACATCCAACTAAATTTGAAGTTCAGCTCAAGTACCCTCTGCCCACAGGCCCAGGAGCTCCCTCTCAGCTCAGGTCCTTGCCCTCAGCCCTTGCCTCAGCTAAGCTGTAGGTAAGCCTGTTCCTAACCTGCTGATCTTGGCCTGATGCCCTGGCTTGTCCTTGGACCTGACTCTGTAAGGCCTTTGCTGGCTATCACGGGACTTGGCTGTCCCCACCGTCCCTAGACCTGCCCTAGTCACTTCTTTCATCTGTTGTGGGATGGGGTCCTGTGGGTGAGGTCCCCGTCCTTGTCTGCCCTGCTGCCACCCACGGCTCCTGGCTCCTCCTGCTTTGCCGGGCAGCCTGCTCTTGCTGCTCCCTGACAGAAACAGGCTTTTGAAGATGTGGACAGGCAAGACTTTCCAGCTCTTGTAAAAAATAGCAATGGGAGAAGACAATGAGATTGGCTGGGGTTGACCCAATCTGGTTTTACCATTGTCTTTAGTTTTCTTTTTAGGATATAGGTGGATTCCTGGGTCCTCCTAAAGACAGAGGGAGAGATTTCAAGGCCCCACCTACATATATATATGCCTTGTACATGCCTCACCATTACAGCCATTTCCAACTGCATTTTGTAAAATCTAACACACAAATAAAAAGCAAGCAACCTTTTTCTTATGCTTCTCTGCAGCACAGAGGATGCTTCTTGCTAATCAGACACTTCTTCAAAGCATAGTCCCTTCTTGCTGTCTTTGGTTTACAATTCCAACTTTACCACACATTTCTTGCAATGGCTTTTATTTAACTTTTTGTGACAGGAGGAGCAAAACAGTCACATAACTAAGGCTGAGTCATTTTCAGTAATGCCACAGAAGTAATTGTTCTCTAATAAAGACATGACAATCAAATTAAAGAGGTTAGTAGGAAGAAGTCTAGTCATGAGAGCTACTATCTTGCACTGCAAAGGAGTTAGAGAAGACTGGCTCTACAGCTTACCTGTTGGACTAGAAACATGTGCTGAATTTATTATTCAAGCGTTGCATCTTTGAACTTTGAGACCTACGGAATTTTTTTTTCAGCTCTTTGGCCAGAGGCATAGAAAATAAAGTACGGGTAGCACATAAATCAGAGGTCACAGCCAATGCTGTCCATAAACAGCAAGGGAGAGAGCAGCGTGCTTTCTTGAAAAGCCAGGTACGTGACAGGTCATTGGTCACAGCAGTTCAGAAGGCCAACTGTAAGTCCAAAATGTGAAGCAATAGCAGAGCTGCATTATTTTTTTACCCTGTTAATTTGACAAAAGCTCTGCAGAAACCACACCAAGGACACACATGTTCTCAAGCCAGCTCTCTGAGATTGCTCTGATCACAAGCTCTTCCTGCGTTCTGACAGTATTGCTCTGCTACCTGTGATATTTTCTCAAAAGCAGTTTTCTTTCACTCTTAGTTTTGATCTTTTCTAGCCAGACACCGATTCATTTCTCTTTTATATTTCTCAAAAGAGCACAATCTCTGCATAGGTCTATAGCATAGTTATTTTGATAGCTGCATTATTACAGACGTTTTAAAAAATCTTGAGTTGGCTCATTCTCTAGCTAGCTGATGGAAAAAAAAAAACAACCCCAAACCCTCAAAATAGTCTTGATCCAACATTCTACCCATTGTTTCATCTTTCCAAGGCAAAATAAAGATCAAAAGTAGTAAATGTAGCACAGATCAAAAAACATCTAAAACTAGGTCACTGCAGGACCTACTTATGTGAGGAATAAACCTACTTATGTGAGAAATGCACCACACAGACACCTTTCTAATAGGTTGCATTTAACAGTTTTAAAAGTTTGGGCTTTTTTTTGTACTACTATAGGTTTGTATTTCACTGGTATTCTGTAATTTGATTGAACACATGCATTTTTTTACATCAAAGTGAGTCCTAATGGCTGCAGTGAGATGTTGCCCAAAAGAACCACAAAGGTATGGGTTCAATTAGTGAAACTGTGAGCAAAGGACAACGATACAGACTGAAAACTGGAAATGAACCACGAACCACCCACCGGCAGCCCTGCAGTCCCTTTTCCCTCCCTCCTTGCCCCTTTCTCCTTCTCAGATGATGTAACACTTTGGCAAAACGATGTAACACAGGGGCTTGTCAGAGCTTTTCATTTTTATTCACTGCCTCATACCATGGCTTACGGGAAGACACTTAAAACTAATTCCTACTTCCTTGAGTCAGTCAGGTCCCATTGATTTCAGAGGGACTATTTACCCAAAGACACGTGAAGGACACAGGCTTTATTGCTCTGCCGATCTATAAGATAGGACACTTACCTATTCTCTGAGGGATACTGCAAGAATAAACCGATTAACGTATAGATCTTTGAAGATGAAGCATCAAAACACATTTACCAAGAAAACTGGCATTATTGATCTTGTGAAAGATGTGAAGAACAGGAGCACTTTACACAATCTGTATTCAATAGCAATTGTAAAAATAAAGGTAATTTCTCAATTATTCCCAGCTGTCTAATCCACTAACTTTCGTCTTTCTCAGCTGATCCACACTGAATTCAAAGCAATCCGCACTGGATTCAAAGCGATAGTTTTGGTTCTCTTTCTTACGTGACATTTCTTGATACATTTACTTTTTCAAATATCTTCAAGATTTTAATTCATTGCTTGCTTTTAATTATTGCTCAACATACTTTTATTTGTTCCCATTTTAAGTCCATATTTGTTCACTCATTCTGTCTTCGATGTTATGTTTTTGGGCTGATCTTTTTTGCCTTCTCAGTAAGATTTACAACTCCAAACACCTGTATTTTATTTAGGTAATTACTGTGACTCTATTCTGCCATCAATCACTGTCTCTCTTCAGGCTGAAGTTTTATTGTCTTGTTTGAGCCTGTTTCAGTTACTTCACCATGATAAAAAGAGCTTTTTAATTAAATAAATAACGAAACAACATATAAAGAAGACAAGCAACTACCACTCACAAACTGAGATGATGACTGAAGAATCAATAACTAGAACACCACCAAGAAAACTTGAATGTCAAGTCACATACTTTTAGGAAGAAAAATGCATGCAGCTGATTATCATCTAAATCACTGGCCATACTTGATTCTGTCCTCAACAGCTTTCAAAGTTAAGGTGCTATGCAGAATCACTAAGTACTAATGCTGTACAATACATATTCTTATTCCTTCCAGGTTATTTATTTAGCCATATGGTGTGCTGGAAGAAGAAAGATTAAACTTGTAAAAGACTGTCAGGTTTGCAAGGAGAACCAATATTTGTCTACATATTTAGTCACATTAAAATTAAAATTATAATTAAGTTCCACAGATAAATTTAAATGAAAAGGTAAGATTATACAACCTAAAGGAAGGCTGCAAAAGCCTGACTGCCTACATCTAAATCCAATGACCAGGCCATGAGGAAATGTATCTCTTAATAGAATATGGTAAACAGGATGCCTTTCTTAATTTTTATTTTAAATTTCTAAGGGACCTTTCAAGAGTGCTGAAGCAGAACTCTCTTTCTGCAATCAGTAATAAAGATGGATTTAAACTCTATTTACTGTATCTCTCCTAAGGTCAAGGAGGGTGTTCTAATTGGGCCATGTTAAGATTAAATGCTCAGTAATACATTTCTTGCAGCGGTCAGAATCAGATTCTCTTGAGGAAGAGAGGGAGGAAAAGAGAAAAAAAGGGTAACTACTGTGGCTTACAATCAGAGAGAAACCCACTGGTAGGCTTTTTAATTCCTCCTCTGCTTCTTCCCCTAAAAACAGTAGTTTAGATTCCTTATAGGCATGAAAACATCTTACTATGAAAAGGTTCTCAGAATTTGCACCTCTGGGAAAACGTATCTGTCTTTGCCTAACATTTATGTTTCCAAAGTACAGCTAAGAAAGGCAACTCAATTGCTAGTAAGCCCAGATATGCTATAGGTCCACAACTCTGCATGGAGGAAAAAAAGCAACCACACAAAAAGCCCCCAAAACAAACAGAGAGGTCTCCAAATAAGCAAAGATTAAAACCAATAGTTTAGATGATGCATAGTTAAGTATATTTATGGAACCAGATGGTCATGCCAGCAATAGGAAATGAGTATTTTAAATGCTGGAATTTCTAGTTAGTATTCATGTTCTGTGCATTTCTTCACATTAGGCAGAGCTTCTTCAAAACCAAATAAAATAAAAGCATGTTTAAAAATAAGTATAAATAAAATTTCACATGAATTATGAAATGCACCACGATAATTTCAAAAGACTGAGAATAGGCAAAGAAGTGTCTCTAGGGGCCACCAACAAAATTTTATGTATATCCTATCTGTTCATCTACATCTCTCTCTCCATCTGTATCTGTGTGTATGTACAACTAAAACAAACTAGGTTTTACAGAACACTTCAGAGGAATCTACATCTTCTTTACAGGTAACAAGAAGCTCACAGCACATCAGACCCTAATAAGAAAGGCATACTTAGGTGTCGCAGGTGATGCAGATCTTCTGGACAAGGCAGCAGGAGAATCAGACCTTCTTAGAGGAGATCCCATACCAGATGATGATGGTGTTGCAGGTCGCTTCTCTTTCTTTATCTTCTCAGTCTAGAAACACAGCTCACTTTAGTTTCCATAATTAGGAACAACACATATCAAAAATATATTTGATAGTTTTATTAACAAGATGGTATATAAACAGATTTGTGTAGCACACATTTAAGAGAAAAGTTTTTTTAAACACCAGCTTCACAACTGAGGCGTAAGTTTTTTATTTTACGCAGACATAAACCTCCTCACCCACCACCATGTCTTGTGTGGACACAGTCTACAAGCTGCAGATTAGTAACACCACATCTGAGCCTCTTCAAGAGTTCTTGGGAAGAGTGGCAGCACTGGATGGAGCTTTCAAAATCAGCTACATGCTCCTGCAACCCCTCTTAGGACACAGTCAGTAATGCACCTGGGCATCTCACAGCAATGCTGCTGGGTCACAGCACTGAATCACACCTAAGGAAGACACTACACAAATCTTTAGCTTCCAGCTTTGGTCCTCTCATTTGCATCCAATTTGGATGGCGTGAATCCCCCCACTAACTATTACAAGACACAGGACTTTTGCAGCCCTAGTATAAATTTTTCAAAACATTAAAACTTAGCTTTACACTGAATAGACTCAGTGAAGGCGAGTGACTTGCCTTTGCTTTTCTGGAAACTACAGTGGATCAATAATGCAACATTAAGCAAACAATTAAAAAAAGGCCACAGAATGAGTTAAAAAAACTGATATAAAAGAAGAGGCATTGTCAATATACTTGGGAAGTTTCCAAAATATATGACAGTTGCTAATTTACCAGCAAGACTGGACAGACTTATAGTCATACTCAGTAGAGATCACATTTGTCATCCTCATTCCCAGAAGCCACAGGCAAGTCTAGAAGCATACATTCCAGTGCCAGAAATCTCAGTTCTCTGAAAATATAGGTGTTGCTGTTCCAAATACTCAACATTGATTCCCAGGAGAAATATATAAAAATGCTGCTAAACAGCAGCACAAAAGCAAGAGATGAATGCAAAGCTTACTTTCTTACTGCTGTTTCTTACAACAGGGGTAGCACTTTATTTTTATAAATGTCAAGGAAAAGATAACAACCAAAAGCTGCCTCAGTTTGCCCAGAAGTGAAATCAAAACCATGGCAAACTCACCTGAGTAGCTTCAGCTGCAGCCGCCCCTTTCATGGCATCAGAAGTGGAGGGCGAAGTGGCCTTCTTTCTGTCAGTGCTTCGGGTGGGGGAAGGCTTGTAGGGAGATTTAAGAGGACTGGCTGGTGCTACACGAGGACAGATATGGAATACTAAAGAGTTATAGTACAATAGCAAGAGCAAAAGGGAGCACAGACAGAGGAAGTAAAGGAGAGGAGAAAACAGCATACTTTTATGTTATAATGTTCAAAGATAGTTTTTCAGTTTGTTTGGTTTTTTTAAGTGTTTCAAAAGATCACACTAATTAACACATTCAACATGGTCCCACTTTACTGAAAATGCTTTTACTAAAAGTAAAGTTTTATAGGATTTTAATTATTTTTTTTTAATTATCTCTAACATACTATGCTCTTACTCATATCCCTTTTGAATTACCCAGCTATGACTGCAATTATTTTCTCTTCCGAAAAGTCCAGCTTCCTTGGCACAATGATAACAAGCAGTAAATAAACAGTTCTAGTTGGGTGACTTTTGAACAAATACTGCAAAACAGGAAAGGTCACTGAAGAGTTAAGGATTTTTGTTTTCTTCATAAAAGCCTAAACATGGCTCCTAAACACCTTAATGGCTTTTCAAAATAATACTTAATTAAGAAAAAAAGCAACAACAAAACCAAACCCAAACCTAAAATAAATGCTGCTGTAGGTATTTCAGTTATCGTTATCTGTGGTAGACATCAGTTTGAGTGCAACACATGAATTACAGCTTACAGGGCAACTCTTTCTCAGTACTTTTTCTTTATTTGCAATATGAGCAAGATTTTTAAATGGGACATTTTACTCCTGTTTTTGCTCATATTGCCTCAACTTCCACGTACACATAGAACAATCAACAGAGTATATGTTTTATTAGTAAGACAGACACTAACTGTAACCATGTGACAGTGTGTTTCCAGTCTTATTCAACTGAAGTAAAGGATACTGACTTTGGAAAAGCAGTAATTATGCTCAAATGTAAAGGAATTAACATTCTTTTTTTATTGGGGGCAGTCCTGTAACATCTCTTATGAAGCCTTTTTGTATGATTTAAGTTTTATTGCTGTATTCTTTAACTGACTCTCCAGCAAGCTGGCAAAAGTTCACTGAACATTAAAAGAAAGTTTAGAGACTTAAATGCTGCTTCAGACAAGTATTTTCACTTCAACTGTAAAACAAATATAGTTACATCTGTCCAATAACAACTGTTTGCCTGAATATCTTGACTCAGAGTGACATTAATAATGCATTGCCCTAGAGAAAGGGTCTTAAATTGAGGTTTCTCATTTCTAAGCTTACAGAAAATGCAGGAGCAGAGCAATTCTGATCCAAACATAATGACATAAGGCACAGGATGAGCTCTTGAAAAGGAAGAGCCCTCTTCCCCATTCAGCAAAAGCTACTTCTACAGAGAGAAGTACACAACAAATGGGAGATCCTCCTCAACCTTTTTGCTGGCAATTACTGACAAAACCGCCAATGGCCACGCTGAGTATTGATGTTTTATGCAACCTGTGCTACAGCCCGATTGCCTTACGAAGAAATGACAAGGGGACACTGGTTCAGAAAGCTGTTCCCAAAATCAGCACTCCTGTTTCAGCTGAGGAGGAAAAGCTATCCCCAGACCAAATTGTACCCTTGTCAGACAGCCCAGCGTGCTGCTTTAAAGATCCTGTGATGAAGAGAGAGAGAAAGCTGGGAGTTTACAAACAAAATGAGTGGGAAAGGACAAAGAAAGTACCTATTGATTTCTTCAGTATCAAATACAACACAGAAAACATCTGTAGGTGGCCCCAGCAATTCGCCTCAAAATTTTAAGCAGAATATAGTGATCTAATTTCAAGTTGGCTTTCGTTCAGTCTTAGCAGTAGCTGATCCCTGAGCAGTAAGCAAACAAGGAATTTCCTCAAGGGCCAAGTACTGTGTGACAGCATTTCTGCTTTCAGCAGATGCTGCTTTTAATGAAGAAACAAGGAAAGTAATTTTAGAGTCATCCAATACCAATGTCCCCATGCGCTGCAACAAAGAAGTAACACGCAGAGGAAAGGAGGCTTACTCCTCCTTTTATTAGTTTCTATATAGCTTTGTATTAAATGCACAGATGCAGGACTTCAACCTATTTTAACCATGCTGTATAAAAATAACGATCATAAAAATGACCAGTCTCATACTGTCTAACCTGTTTTACCTGAAAAAAATGTTTCCTTTGTCAGACAGGCATTTGGGTGTGGAGTTTGGTTACTTTTGTTTTTAATAAAAGTTAACAAAAAAACCTGTGTCACTTTTGTCCTTGTTTCAGCAAATACTATGAGTAGGTATAGCTTTATAAGCAGGAACTACTCTGGAAGTTAGGCACTTGTGTAAGTATTAGCAGGACTGGAAATCTTAGTTTTGTAGCTGTTTGCAAAAGAAGGATTTTACTAGACTACCATTTACAGATAGGAATAGTAACTCTGATCTCTAATTCTTAGTTTCTTAAAGATCAATAACTTCTGGAACTAACACCTTCCTACGAGTGTGTCTGCTTTTTCCTCTAAGTATCATTTTAACTGTGTATATACACAAATATATGTATAATAATACACATACAGTCACACAGTTAAAGGCAGAAAGTAATTTAACAGCAAAGAACAGGAATGTTAGTAAAAATAATTAAGACTCAAACGGTGCACTGGGATTTTTGTTCTACATACTACTTGCATATGAAAGGGGATGACATTAAAATATCAAATAAAGTCTCTCGGAGGTGTCACATACTGGCCTAAATCCTGTTTCTTAAATGAATATATTCAGTTTTCCATTGGCTTAGGTTTTAGTGATTTTGTTAATTCATTTTTTGTTTGTTTGTTTAACTATGTTCTTTTTAAAAAGACATTGAGAAGAAGATAGACAAGATGAGGTGTGCGTTCAAGCTTTTAAATACACTGCTATCATGAACAACTTAGTTCATTGTTGCTTATGTACTACCATGTAACTTGTCACTTGGTTCATAACACTCCATTTTTTACAGCAACTACTCAAATGCAACCAAAACCATACCTTAAGGGTTTCAAAGTGAGTAATTCACATTTTTACCTGGATTACTGTACTGCTCAGAAAGCATTAGTGTACTTCTGCTTCTGGCTAAAGATGACTGTGTGGGAGTCAGCAGTCGAGAAACAATAAAGTTTTCCATTGGACTAAGATGCATGCGGTGAGCTGAGGGATGGGAGCAAATAAAATAAAATTTAAAATGCAAAGAAATAAAACAATGTTACATTAAAATAACTAAAATAAAAGGATGAAATGGTTAAATGAATTGAAAACAACCTTAAAGTGTTTGAGACTTAAAATATTTAAAGACAATTTTCATTCCCTATGAAAAAAAGGTTTCTAGTTTCTCCATAATTTTAAATTATTTTCCACCTGTACAATAAATACAGTAAGGTTAAGACAGAGTTACATTTTGTTCTTACACAGGGGCACGTTCCATTCTGCAAAATGGTTGCTTTCATGACTCAGCATGAAAAAGGTTTGCCTTTTTCCACAGTAGAAAAGGTGAAACATTTGGTATAACAGCGCAGCTACTCACTAATGTGCCAACCATACAGGGACTGCATTTAAAATGTGCAGTCTCACCTCATTACATAAGTCTTATTTATACAAGATGCCTGCATTGCTTCCTACTCCATAAATATAAGCGTCAACTATGTAAGAAAGATATTTATAGATGTTCCTATTACATGCATATACATATAAAGCCATCTGTCATAATAACCTCAAAGCTATAGATAACTTTTCATTAAGCAACTGAAAAATGAAAGTAAATTTACCTTCTCTTTTTATTCTAGAAATAAGCCTTCATTGTTGCTTATTCCAGGTTTGTTTTTTTCTCATTAGAGTTCAAAAAAAAAAAAAGGAGGGGAAAGGAAAAAAGACACGCAAAAAAAAAAGAAAATTTCTAAAGAGTTCACAGCGGGGTAAACCCTCCAGTCCTCTATGTAATGTTTAGTAAACACTAATCCCGCAAGACGATCATCTTTTGCTGAGCCTCTGATGGATCAGCATTTCAAATCAAATTAAAAGGGCTCTACAACTCTGATCACCAGATTGAAGACACCCAGGTGGCTCATCAGACGTGCTTCTTGCCCAGGGTACAACCCACTTCTAACATTGAGCCACATGTTTGGTTTGCTTGTTTTTCTTTGTTTTTGTCTAAAAGATCACAAGCCGTACAGTTATAGGAAACTGCTGCAGTCACCACATGTACTTGTGACCTGGTTTGCTGGAGTGTCAAAAATTGGAAAAGAATCAGTAAAAAAAAAACCCCACAACATTTGTCGCTGGCCTAGGACCTCCAGCACGGCAGCACAGTCTTGGGACAGGCTGCAGAACTATTTACTGTATTAACTTACAACCCCCCGTTACTCTTTGAGTTCTTTTGAATAAAGTATAAGCGAGTTACAAAGCCACACGGACAAGAAGTGCTTTAAGCAGAAGGAGAGTTTACGCTGGTAGGAGACCAGCAGGTTCACTTGCCTCTGTCGGGGGAATGTGTTATTGCCGCTGTAGAGGAGGAGAGGCGCTTACTGATGGGCGATTCCATTTGCTTTGGCAGATTCATTGTAGAAGCTGAAAGTTTGTCACATGCTGCAGGAGAGACGCATTGGAGATATTTGTATTCACATCGCAGTGTTGAGAAAACTCCCCAAATTAACCTTGCATTTGTACTCTTTGGCCCTTGTCACTGATCATATCACTGAATAAGGCGCAAGATGAGCTCTTTCTGACTGCTGGAGGATCAGCATTTTATAAGACATGCTTTGGGATTCAACTTTTCTGCTTGTGAATTTGACATCGCAGTTTTACAACAGCTTATCTTTTATATTGCCACAGGCAGGCAAATAACAGGTCTGAAGGAGTGAAGCCATTCTGATACAAGATAGTCACTACCAGCACAAGCAGAAAGTTACCTAAAGAAAAACGAAATGCACACACAGCTCTGAACTCCTCATCTCCATTCCCCCTCGCCTCTACGTTCAGTCTGGAAGAGCTGGAGTAGACCTCAGGTATTATTCCAATATAAGAATGAAATAACTAACATTTGTGTGTTCACACAATGAGAAATCACTGTTTTAGTGACTGATCTGGCACCAGCCATTTGACTTCAAAAAAAAAAAAAGCTTTCAGATACTACCCCAAGTGCTCTCATTTTTCTTCTGAAATACTGTTTGACAAAGTTTGTTTGAGCACAATACCCATTTCCTGCCTTGCCATTTATTCAAATGAATGACAGAAAACCGTTATTCAAGTATTACTACAGTGTACCAGCATTTGATGATCACTGAATGATGCTTAGAAGCTAAAAGCACAGATGCTTTGTCCCTTAAATTTGAATTTTATTTCTTTAAAAAAAAAAAAAGTATTTTCAACTAGAGATACATCCGTGGCCCTAATTCTGCAGCTCCTAAGTTACTGCATTATATCCATCAAAACATCTCCAAGATTTGCCTTCCATCTATCTACTACAATAAACAATACAGTTCTCTACATTGCCTTTTTTCCAAAAAGCAGGTACAATAATGGTATGGTCCACTGCACATCCAAGCCTCTTTGTACAGGACCAACAATTAGTATAAAAATTGGAATCTGTTTGCATGGAAATAAGAGTTCTGAGACCATGGGCAGAACAACATTTACTGTGCATTCTGCAGGAGTAATAGTCAAGCCTAGCTCCTCCTCTGGGGGCAGAGAAAGAACCTGGTTCTTAAAAGCACCTCAAAAAGCACCTTAAAAGCACCTCCTGTGTTATGTTTTCAAAATGTCAAGTACATTTGCAATCAAAATTAGAAATTCTATATGTAATTCTTTCTTAACTTCGGAGGACTCATCTACCTTCACAGTCCTTTAACGGGAATAATAATTTTAATTATATATAATGGAACAATACCAAAGAAAACAAAACCACGATTGCCTAAACAAAGTCAACTACTTGAGTTTGTTACAAATGCCAGCTTGGCCAAAATCCACTTCAGGAGGCTGAAAACACAGCACGGCTGTTTATACCAAATTTGCTTGTTCTTGAAATATTGCAGAAAAAGGCCCCCGAGACGGAAGGAGGGGACTGTTTTGATGAAACATCATCTCCATAACAGCGCAGCTGTTACATAAAGTATAACACATTTTCTCTTATTGTGCAGCTGAATTTTGGTTTTTTAAACGGCACCTGCACCTATGCGTGTCCATTAGAACTGTCAAATATATGCATAATTATATTTATACAGACACACACACACACATGTAGAGAGTGCCCACAGAATTAACAGAGATGAGAATCTGAGCAGCAGAAGTCTACATTTAGTGAGAAAACCATGAAATGCCTCTACTGTGCTGGAATGAGAGGCATGCACTGCTCCACCATGGCAAAATTAAAAGGAAATTAAAAAGACACTTAGTCCACAGCACTAAGGATAATGCCGTAGAGTACCAGACTGAATAATAATAAAACAGTGGTTAGGAAGGACAAGATCAGCGGATGGGTTACAGTGATTAGAACAGGTAGAAACGAGACACGATGGTGCTGTGATGCTCTGAAATACCATTGAAGGAATCAGCAGGAGCAGTAGAGGTCACAGGGTCTGGAGGAAGGGTGTTGGCAGCTAAACCTAGAACAGGGGGTGGGGTATTTTCTGATTCACCTACACAGCAGAGAAATTAGAGCAAAAAGAGGTGAAAGAAATTACTGAAGAAGTTGAGGGAGGTGGCATTAAGCATAAACTGCACCACAAAGACAAACTGTTCTCTTTCTCAAAGTGCAAAAGACTTCTTTTATTGTCATAGATCTTTAACTTCCTGGTTTTTTGAAGGCATACCGTGAAAACTAAGATGTGAAACAGAGTTTGCGGTTTTAGAGTTAAGTATATTTACACACTATTTAAGAGAAAGTAACCATCATATTTCATCAGCACTCGAACATGGATATTTTTCCCCAAAACAACAGTTCATTCAAACCTGACAAATTTAAATAAATTATATTATTTAAAACAGAAAACATGCCTCTTTTTGAAATATAAAAGCAGTACATGACTGATTATGTAATAAAAAGAATTTGTTCTGAAGCCAAATCAAAAAAAGAGTAGCAACAGAAAGTATGTGGGGAAAAAAACCAAAACAGTTTTAAACTGCACACACTGCATAGTCATCTAGAAATTCCCATCAGGTTTTCAGAAGCACCAAACAAAAACAGATCATCTCTTGCAAGGCTTAGAGAGCACTCAGTCCTTTGGTGAATATTAAATTTGCTAACTGTGTGCGTGGGAAAACAATGCGAGGGAAGAGGAAAAAAAACGGAGAGAGCACAGACTTTTAGTATTTAGCATCCTCCAAACAGATTCTGGTTACTCTGTTAAAATGATCTGCATTCCTAAAGTTAGGAGTAACCTTTCTCTTCAGAAGGTATTAGAGAGAAGCAGCAATTACAAAGCATTTATTCGTGCCCCAAGGCAGCAGCCCATCCAGTACCACCCCAACTATAAAAGGCATCTCCCTTACTATCTCCACAGCCTCATGCATTTTGCACTTGGAGATCTGCAATGCAGGCAGCCTGCTTCCCTTACCGTCTCTCCCTCCTGAGCCTGCAGCCAGTGCTCCTCCCCACGACCACCGCTTCTGCTTCTGCTCCAGCTGCTGGCTGCGTTCAAGGGACCGACGCATCATGGCTTCTAAACGCTCCTGGTGATAGTGGTACAAAAGCAGAAACCAAATCTCAATCAAGTTCTTTGGGTGCTTTTCTTCCCCATCTCTCCTTCTGAAATCACGCTAAAAATATGCAGTCCCCCTGTTGCTTCACGCAAGACGATTCCAGGAGCTTGTTTGCAAGAAAAGAAAAAAGACTAAGTAAAGAAGGTATCAGCATGCTACCTACCTCCAGATATCTGTATCCTTTGTCTGCAAGCCACTGAGGTCACTACAGAGGCCTAAGTAAATAACACAGGTTGCATCACTGCCTAGCATCTGCTCCTGCTGGTGAGGCTGCTGCTGTGCTCTGGACTTAATTTGTGTAAGAATAATGCTCGACAAGCATTAACTCCTTCTTGGCTATGCAGACCTCGGGATTTTTTTTCCACCCCTTTCTGAGCACAGCTAAATTGCTGCAATGCCAGTGGCTCCTCCTAGCCACGCAGATGAATGATCACTTCAAACCCAAAGTAGGTTACTTTGCAGGATGCTCAAATTATTTATTTATTTTTACAAAAACTCCCTTCTATATTCCACTACGTACTTTACAGTCTAGGCATTTAAGAGCTTCTGATTTTATTTCCTGTGTGTATTTTTTAGTGTATGCCCAGATTGTGTTGCTCCAAGATTTATTTTTTTTCCCCCTCCACACCCACGTTCTTCTCCATGGCTTCATGAGTTAGGATTTTCAGATGAAATAACAAGGAGATTTCTTTCCCTCCCCAAATCCTGCTCTGCCTTAAACTTACAGCTACATATAGTCACCTTATTCCCTCTCCACCACCTCCTAACTCTCACTCGGAGACCCACCACTCAGTTTTGTTCCCACCTCCTCCCTCTGCTATTTTCTTTGTGGTTTATTGCTGTGACAACGGTCTCTGCAGCTTTTCTTTTCCTCCACTCAAGCAGATAAAACCTGGTTCTTCCCCACCCACCATTCCATCATCTATTACCCTCTTCCTTTCCTCCCCCCAGTACCTCATTCGCATCTGGCAACCTCTTCACCCTCACGTTTCAGCAGCCCAAACCCTGCTGTGAAAGATGCCGCTGCCTCCAACTCCTGCCCCAATGGCTTTTAGCTCTTTGATCCTATTAGTACTTTTGGTCCTGTTACTTACTACCTTTGTTACGTATGTCCTTCTGGTCTACTATAAGACTCCTATCCACTTCAAACTCTTGATCCTGCACGTTTCTGTGATTACATCATATTCAATTTCTATTAGTCCCCAGCTTTGTCTCCAAACATCTTTTGGCAGCTCAGATCAACTGTGTAGAAAACCTCTCCTGCATCTCTTGGCCAGACTAATTTCTCTCACCAATCTGTGACTTCAGCCTAGATTTCCTACTCCCCTTCCCCAGTATATTTTATGACAAGCATGTCTCCCTCAGTCTCCGCACTGATGTTGTGGCTGCTGTCTCTGATGGAGCTCCTTCAGCAGATCAGACCATAACATCAGGCACTTCCAGTAACTACCATGCCTGGAACTTGTATTATGCACATATCTGTAAACTTTGTGTTACCTTCCTGGGGCTCTGTCTATGGTCACTGGGCTTCTAAAATGCCAGATGCCTTCTCATCATCTTCTGGTAATCTGCAATACACTTTTGTCTCTTCCACGTCTTTGAAGAATCTCTTCTATTAGCATGACTTCCAGTAATTTATTTCTGACCTCATTTTTTCCACCTCATCCAACCCTGCTACCAATTATCCATCAATTTCAACAGGAAGCCACTACCCTTTGTCTTTAAGCTCTCTTCTCTTAATTTTTTTACAAATCACTTGTATCACAAAGAATTTCATTATATTACCCTCTATACAAGGAGTGAAAACAAGGCAATTCTTCCCTATCCTATCATTCTCAGCTCTCCTGTCCCTATTACCTTTTGACCAGGTACAATTTCACCCTGCCATTACAATTTCTGCTGCCATCTCCAGGAAGACAGTCTTTCAGTCATGTGTTTTAAGCTCTCACTTCAGTTTTGTCTCCCTTCCATGTCTTTAGCTCATGGTCTATCAGGGAACATGCAAAGACCACTGCACTGAAAGCCGACAGCTGCTTCCCCGCCCTCCCCCCCCCTTTCCCCCCATCTGTCTCGTCAGTGCCATCAGTGTCCAGGCAGGCATGCAAATGCGCACTCTGCCTCTTTCCTCATCCTCTTTCTCCCTACAGAGCAAAGGCACAAAGCACCACAAAGCTCAAGCACAGACTCTTCAGCGACAGCACAGAATAAAAAGACAGTTTTGAATATGCTACCACTTCTTGTCTGTATGGACAAGGAAAAAGGAAAAACTTCCAGTCTCTGGAATCCAAAGCCACTCCCCTCCAATGTAGTTTGCAGCAGTCTGTCTTTCTTCTCTTACTACCTGATGATGCAATTTTCATATTTAAAACCCGTGTGTGCTGGCTTTGCATTTCAAGTTCACACTTTTTGCCTTTAACTTCCCACCTCTCGACATTAATTTAATTCTGTCTGAGTCCCTTCTCTGTACTTACTCTTCCCTAACCTCACCTCCCATTTCATCACCTGTTCTTCTCTGCAGTCTGCTTCTTTTCATTACTTTCTTCTACTATGCATCCTGTCTCAATATAGCTCTCTACCCACATTCTTTATGAAGGAAAGTGATCTTCCCATTTCTCTCTCATTAAAGCATACATTTTCATATCTAATGAGTATTGTTATACATTAATCAAAAAAGATAAGATGAAAGCAGTCAAGTTTCAATTACCTGGGTGATTTATGTTTTTGGGGTTTTTTTAATGTTGCTTGGAGCATGGACCAGCAATATTCCATAGTTTGCAAACCACAGAATACACTTACACCACCTACTATGAAAACACTGCTTAAGAAAATGCAGGATGACGTAGATTAAAGAAATTAAATTATTTTTCATACGTATTTGGAAGCCCATGCTACCTACAATCTGAGGCTGAAATCTTCCATTATGTGATGTGGAGAGGATAATTCATTTCCATTTTTAAAGAGCCTTTCATTAAAGCACTATAGAACATAATTATTAAACCTCATGTAACCCTGCAGATATAGCTTTGATAAAGAACAATATGAAGGCCATTTTTGACAAGGAAACGATAGTTATTTAAAAAACATTTTAACTTAGCACAAAACTCAAAAGCGAAAGCAAGCAAGACACATGGAAGCAGAGCATAAACATCTCATACATTAATAATTTGGTCTGTGATGACAGGTAAACAAGACAAAGCATTCCTTCATCAGCAAACAAAACACAAACCCATTCCTGTTTATGTTATAGATGAAGTACCTTCTTAGAAACATATCAAACTATCCATGTTTAAGGGTAACAAAGCTGGTGAAGGGTTTAGGGCACAAGCCTTATGAGGAGCAGCTGAGGGAGCTGGGGTTGTTTAGCCTGGAGAAAAGGAGACTGACAGGAGACCTTATCGTCCTCTACAACCACCTGAAAGGAGGTCGTGGTGAGGTGGGTGTCCGAATCTTTCCCCGGTAGCTACTGATAGGACAAAGGGTAATGGCCTCAAATTGCACCAGGGGAGGTTTAGGTCGGATATTAGGAGGAATTTCTTTACTGTAAGGGTTGTCAAGCACTGAAACGAGCTGCCCAGGGAAGAGGTTGAGTCACCATCCCTGGAGGTGTTTAAAAGACTAGTAGATGTTGTGCTTAGGGACATGGTCTAGTGGTGGACTTAGGGCTGGTTCAATGGTTGGACTCAATGATCTTAAAGGTCTTTTCCAACCAAAACCATTCTATGATTCCATGTTATCTTCATTTGGAAACTCTAACAACCACAGATAGAAGAAACAACCTCTGCAATAAAGATCTAGCGAGCTTTCACAAAAAATTGTAATGTACAAGCTTTGCCCATAGGTTAAATTAAGAGTGAGTAAAGCCATAAGAAGAGAGCCATCTACTGCTAGTATCTAAACTATACATGTTGCTTTCCAAAATCCGTATTTATTCATTCAGGTTTTCCACAGACTAAGCAACAGAACAAACCTTTACACTGGCTGAATAAAAAGATGAAAAAAAAAAAAAAGGCAAAAGCAAAACCAAGCAAACCCAAAAAACAACAGTGAGAAAGCAAGTCATTTGACTGAAGCACTTTCTTTTTCTCTATGTAAAACATGACACAGATGTGAAAACAAGGAAAAAAAATACTTTATGAGTATTATGACTTAAAATAACTTGTGCAAACAATTCTAAAACTATCTGCCTTATATCTACAATACAAGTATCTAAAAAAAAAAAAAAAAGCCCCCCCAAAAGTCTTTCTCTTCATTTTATATATTCATCAGCACTGTATAAGTAGCTCACTGTTTCCTGGTATTATCAGTTGGCTTCATCTTTTGAGTGGCTTTTCCACACAGCAACAAAAGAGCTGTTATTTTTTTATGTAAAGAACACATTAAAGAGCAATACAGTATTTTTAAATTTAACTACCCTACTGAACAGAATTCATGTCTACTCTCAGCCAGTTACTATTATGGGTGTGCAGAAAGGGAAAATTTACTAAAGGTGTGTGCATTAGAGAACAACAGAGGAGAAATAAAGGCTCTGCGTTAAGGTACAGGGGAGCTGCGACAGCAAGTGATGGCAGGGGAGGAGCAGAGGACGACGTTCAGTGTTGAGGAGGAGAATTTCATCCTTACTACATGTCCAATGCCCACAGCAAACTGAGAAACTGCCTGCATAGCAATCTCAAACAATTTGCAGCAAAATTTCTGTGTTACTCGTGCAACTGAATTCCACCCAGTATACGAACTGCCAGAATATGTTTGGAAAGCAGTTACTTAATTACAAAGTAATTAACTTTGAATTACAACATTGTAAGTAGTTAATGATGTAACACCTGGAGAGTTTTTCACTCTTTTGTGTTTAAGTGCATACTTTTGACAAATATAAGACATAATGCAAGTGCACCAAAACAATCTCTCCAATGCTGCAGGATACTCTTTCCAATTTAGCAGTTGCTACATCAGTCTTTCAAGTCTGAGTGCTGAATTAGATTTGATGCTGTCTACCTATACTAGTGTTTATTTAAACATTAGTATGTTGGTAGGATCACTACTAATTTTATCAATTTCCTTTTTAACAAAATCTGATGGTTTTATTAAAAGTGGATCTTTGACTAGATGGATGTTATTGCTGTTATTCACGCCGACATCCTTGACATGGCCTGTGCAAGTGATGTTCATATTGTCTTACGGAGTACAAGAGCAGAAGAACACCACAGCTTCTACGGAGACTGCCCAATACCCTGTGTACAGATAAAAATACCTTGCAAATAAAAGTTTAAGTCACACAGAAGTTCAAGACAGGGAAAGGGAAAAATAATTTTAACTGAAGGAAGACTAGCTTTGCTTTTATCTAGTCCCAAAGCTGTTAGAAGCAACTCTTTAATAACTTCTGTTGAACAACTACATGCTTCTTTATTCAGGGACTGCTTCTACTAAAGGAGTGGGCAGCTTTAAAAGTAATATGGAGGGAAGGGCAGTGCTACTGAAGACCTCTAAGCTACAGTCAATGTAAACAGGACAATTTTCAGACACATTTATTTGGTTTCTGTTTGGGAAGTTGGACACATTTCCACTCCAACAAGCAACAAGCTCCAGCTGCCCCAGAGGAGAACTCTGCCAGAACATCTCCATTCCCAGACTTTACAACCAGCATCTCTTATCTGGCACTGTAGAGGAAAAAGCAAGCAAAGTCAATTGAACTTCAGCCACCTCCTCTTTAAGAAGTCCTCTGGATGCAAAACAGCCAAGCAGAGGATGCTCTGATGTAGGAAGCCAACAAGTCCCCACAGTTTGTTAAGAGCCATTCATTTCAAACTCTTACAAATGCAACAACAGTATTTTCTAGAGAGGTTTACATAATCTATTCCTATTACAAATATGCACTGCCTTCTGCTGTGTTAAAAGGCAAGGAGAAAAGATGTAAGGAAGACATAAAGGACAACCAGTAAGGCAGAGAGCAAGGAAGAAAATCTCTCTACTTGGCACTTCCGACACCTGATGAGAAGGTAAAATGGGTGCTCCAGTCCCCACCCAGCGTAAACCAGTGTTAAAAGGTGAAACACTGAGGACATGCTGCAGTATACTGGCTCACTGGCCAGGGTATAACCCCACCCCCAGCTGTGGGAAATACAGGTTCAAGGCTCTTCCAGTAAAGGCGGCCTCAAATGTCCACAATGACTCATGAGCAGTGAGTAACTTGCAATGCCCAAGGAACCACAACTTCACCACCATCCTTACTCAGACCCTCACTGCTACTGCACTTATAGGGTTTGAGGAGCTCACCAGAAGAGCTGGTGGGGGTGGGATTTGGCAGATTCTTTCATAGAATTCAAGTGGAATTTGAGAAATTAAGGAATGACAAGTAACCACGAAGGGAAGCCAGGCAGTGGTGGTGTCTCCTTTTCCTAGTTTCCTTCTCCCCTCATCCTCCCGTTTTACAGATTATTCCCATATGTACCCTCCCATCCTTCCAAGGCTCCTAGATTTTTCCCACCAAGCCTAATCCATCCCCAAACAAGCAAGCATCGTCTCCTGTCCTCCTGCCCACACAGCCTTCTCTCAGGTTCCTCAGCCTGGGGGATGGGGAAGAGCAGAAAGGAAAAGGAAAGGAGCCAGGCCTGGGCCTGACTTGGCTCCCAAAAGGTTTCAGGCAGTTATAGCTTGAAGGACCAGCTCAGTGAGCAGAACTAGGAGTGGTATGAGTATTATCACCAAATACTTGGAGGCAGCCTTTCTCTTGCCATTGGAGAAGTCTCCTATCACACATACAGGGTGTTGGGGAGCTATACCAGGCTTCTTGATGCTTGGGAGAAACATCACTGTGTGCTTAGCCTCGTACATCCATCTCTGGGCAACTGCAGGAGGCCACTGTAGGAAATGGGGTCCCCACTGAACTGACCCTTTTGGGTCTGACCTAGCACAGCTTCTTTTATGTCTGACAACCCTGCTCTCATTTCTCCAGTACAGGCAAACCATGCAGCAGGGAAAACAGATGGCTGCTCACACTTCCTACAGCTCTCCCTCTCCCTGCCACCCTCTGGTTCAAATTTTGAGGACAAGATTTGGAAGTTTTTGTACTTGCCACCTTCCCTTACAATCCCTATAAAGGGGATCAATTTTGCTTAGCTGCAGAAGGTTATTACAGCAGGAAATACTGGGGAAGAAGCATGGCAGGTCAATGATGTTACCACAGAAGGAGAGAGGCCTCTCACCCTTTGTTTCTGCTTTTTGGCATTTTTCATATCAAAATTTGAAACAAACCACATGACAAAATATTTTAAAATGAATTCTCAGCTGTTATGCAGAAGCCACAATCAATATGTTATGGTTGAAAGAGGAACAGCAGGATATAATCTTCTCTTCAGGTTGAAGTGAAAAAAAATCAAACAACACGCAGTATGTTATTCTGATCCCATGCAGAAGTGTTTTATTTTTCTTGCAAAGATATTTTGATCAAAAGATGGGGGCAGAAAAAAAACCCAAACAGACTTCTAGAGCCTTTTTATCTAGGAACTAGGGAAACACCTTCTTTTGGCCTTTTTTTTTTTTAAAAAAACCACTACCCCCTTTTCCAAAAAGTCATTAATTCTTTATCAGTTACAGTCGCAGCGCTGGTGTTTCCTACGCAATGTCATGTGGAGAAACACACAGACACACACACACTGCATTCAGAGATCTGCATCAGAAATTGGACTCACTAAAGCAAAAAAGAACCTTAAATATCTCAGCAGGGAGAGTAGAAGAGAGGAAGGGTATGAAGATGCTTCAAAAGATACATGATTAATTAATTATGTTCTGTGCTACAATTTTAAACCAGCCTAGATTCTTCACTGCTTTAAGTAAGAATTTCTGCTCTTATGTCACTGAGGAAAAATGAAAGAACACATTTTCATAAATATTATTTCAGTTTCATGGATAGTAAACAAAACAGTAAGAAAAATCTTTCCCTTTTATGGAATCATTCATCTTTAAAAAACACCTTCTGGAAAGCTGGTGCTTTATTGTCTGGCAGTCAGAGTCCCAGATATGTTAACATAAGTAGACGTCTATTCCATGAGATCAGACAAAAATCAAGAAACAAAAAGTTCTGGGAAGTGTTTCTGATGTACAAGCACTAGTGGAGTACTTACAGCTGTGGTGATGTGTCCTTCTTGTTCCCAAAGTCAATAATCAGCTGTGTCTAATGCTACCATACAGAGCTGCTCAACTGTACATCTCCCAGTGGACCTTACCTCCTCCTCTTTAAGCTTTTGTCTCCGTTTCTCTTCAACAGCTGCTCTCTTCTGCTCCTCTCTCTGCCTTTGTTCCTCCAGCCTTCTCCATCGCTCCTCCATTTGCTTCTCATATTGAAGTTTTGCTCTTCTCTCCTTCGCCAGTATCTGCTGTTCCCTAGCAGCTTAGGCAGAGGAGAAAGTGCATTGCAACTTATGCAAATTTTCTTCTGTTTTAGAATTATTTGATAACATGACACAATAGTGTAAAAAACCAAATACAAGCACACAAGGATTTAGTCCACTAAGATTTAAAAAACCACAGTGCACAGAAGTGCTGGAATGATTAGTGAATCTAAGTCATTTGCTAAATAAACAGCGATGTCCTTTGTACACAAAGTGACAGTTTGTGCCCCTTACCTATGTAAAAACAGTGTACAGAATAGTTAACAACTCCTTTTTGTTCATGTTTCAAATCCCTCTGTAGTTTAAAGCCAAATTCTTTTTTCAGACATAAATGTTCCCAGTAGGTTTTAAAGTGCATCAGTTACACACATTGAAGCAAAAGCCCTTGGATTTTCTTTAAAACTGCGTTTCTCATTATGAGGCTGCCTTCAAAATAAAAACATGATAAGATATGCTTAATTTTCCATGAAGCTTTGAAAATATACCATCCTGTTCGTAATTCGGTGCTACATCTTTATCTACTTCTGCCTCTTTGCATGAAAAAAATTACTTCCGTTATTGACAGCTTGCCCTGCTGTTTATTCCTACTGGAGTCATAGGCTTCTTGAGACATTAACTTGTTGTTACAGAAACTCAGACTGCAACATTACATACAGGACTGTTGCTTCAGGTTTAAATAGGAGAACAAGTAGTAGAAGTTAATGTGACAAATCATGAGGAAAAATCCACTTCTCATGCAAGTGTATTCCATAAAAAGGCAGGAAGGAGGAGTTCAGTAAGCATGCCTACATACGCAAGCCTGTCATGTCACATACCAACACATATGTAGCTGATATCAAAGAAGGAATATTCTCACAGCGGCAGGCTAAGAACTTGAAAGTTAGGAAAGCCAAAATTAACACTGTTTATACAAGAACTAGTCCTTCATCCTGCTCACCGATTCAGTCTCAGTCTGCTTTTTCAGTTCCTGCTTCCCTGTAGAGCAAATTTCTACCCTTTAACTCTCAGTATCTTCCCATCAGTCCTAGGCTCTTGCTGAGCCCTCTCAATTCCCTCTTTCTAGATCAGCATTTTCCCCTCAGCTGTTGACCCCAGACTCTTTAATCACAGCCATGACTTTCCGTTCTCTTAGCCCCACTCCACCCTCAAGTCCTTGGTTTAAAGCCAGAGTCCCTCCAACACCAGATCCTTTTCTAACAGTTGCATTTCTTGCCCTTGAAGACTGGATCCTCCTAAAAATACTTCCTCCTCACATCCAACCTGCTTTGCAGAACACCTTCTACCTTATTCTTGTCAGAAATGCAGTTGATGGTGTCTTCGCCTCTCACCTTATGAGAATTCACTATTCTTCCCACCCTGGGACAGGGCAGTATGAGCGGAGTGTCAGTGCTGCAGGGGACCATGGACTTGTACACGTGAAAAATCAGACTTGACAACAGATAAAGACTTACCTCAGAGACAGTGGAAGACAAGTGGCCAGCCATTAACTGTTAACAACTACTAGTCACTTCAGGTAAAGCAGGTGAAATCAGCATGCCAGAGTTGATAAAAAAAAAAAAATAAAAGTGAAGTGTCCACAGATTGTGCTAAGATTACCTTCTGAGTAAGTAGGTGAAACCTGCAACTGATTCTGGATAGAGAAGCAAGCCATTCTGTCACCATGGACAAAATATATAACTCTTTTTCATTAATTCAGGGATACTAAACCACTGATTAATGAGTTCTGGCTTTGGTGAAAATGCTGTTCTGTACTGCTGCAAAGTACCTGCTGGTTGCATTAAGATCTGTCGTTTTGAGGAACTTGCTGCTTTTTTCCGAACTTCTAAAAGAAATTTGACACAGACAAATTGTGACCAAAACCCAGAGCTTCCTATTCTATAAATGGTCTTAATCCTAAAAAAGTATGTTTCCAAAAGGTACATATGGTGTCTGGAGACAAGAACGACAGTCAACACCTTCCAAATTCTCTCGTCCAACCACTCCCATATTCTCCAGCTTTCAGTTTTCCTCTCATCTTCTCTTCTGCTTTTTAATCCAAGTTCTTTTCAATCTACTCAACACATCACTTTTTTTGGGAACCAGCAAAGAAGGGATAATCAGGAGGACAGAAAAGATAGTCTGGACTAAGTATACCCAGGAGAGATGTAAGCTATGACTCAGGCTGGTGACAGAAACTCTGGGGAGATTTAAGTACTAACCACCAGCAGGTTTTCACAGGAACTGCCAAAAGAAATCTTGCTCACCAAGCTCACGGTACCAAAAAATGTCAAGCTACTGGCCTCGAGAGTCAGGCTTTGTCACAAAACGGTCAACAGTTTGTTGTTCATTTATTGCAAGAAAAACAGTTTTTTTCCCTATGGTTCTTTTCACAGGTGCTCACACTGTTTTAGATGAAATTTCCTCAAAATATAAGCCTATCTTAAATTTCACAAAATCATAAAACACTGGTAATTCCTTCTGACAGGTATTGTCAGGTAACCTTAAGGAACAGTGCTACTGGCCTTTCTTGTTATTACAATGAGGAAAAGTGAAGTTAACTGTTCAATGCTTTATATATATAAAAAGTCAACAATGTTGAACAGTTAATTTCACATACACACACTCCTTATAAATAAATAAATGAATAAATAAATAGCCATTTCTTTAACATTTGCCTGGATTAAAAACAACTATTTAAAAAACTTTGAAACCAATGCTTATATTATTCAGGAAATGAATTAGTATTTTTTCTCATTCTCTTAAAGATTAACAATTTTAAAACTTACTAAAAAATATCTGCATTATACCATACTTAACACCTCAATTTTAACAAGGCTAAAACTTAGAGTAAAAGTGAGGTTGTTTCACCAAATCACCCTGCATATTATCCAGAGTATTATTCAAGGCTTATTTGGTATTTTTACAAATCAGAGAACATAAACCTATATCCAAAAGTACATAAATCAAAGAAAAAAGTCAAGTTGTAACTATAGAATACTCAAATAGAAATCAAAGCAGAAATACATGAATTGATTTTTTATAATTCAATTTGTAAGTAGAAATATGAGCAATAAATACTAGAAACAGACTGAACTACGTTTTAAGATTCAGAACAGAAAAAAATGTCATGTTAGTAACTTAAGCCTATTAACACATACACAAATAATACATGCACCTCCTGCCATCTTACCAAGGTATTTCTCCCTTTCTTCTCTTCTCTCCTTTGCCAGTCGTTGTCTTTCATCGGTTTTTAGAAATCCATCAATGGCTGAAGTTAGAGAAAAAATATATAAGTTAAAAAAAGTGTTAGCAAAATTAAAGCATCACCCAAAAAATCTAAAAAGTTCCACCGGAACAAAAAGTTGTATCTACATCTTTAACAATTCCAACACCAAAAATGATTTTGCACTTGTATGTGAGCAGGTTAACAAGCTGCGATTTGGACACATCTTGAGCACAGTGTCCTACCTACTGCTGAACTCCAAGCACAGTTCCTCAGTGTAAATGCCCGACTCCTCTTCTCAGAGCAAACAAGCATGCTGTTAGTGCTCGATTTGAAACTTAAAACTTCCTTGGGAAAATCCATAAGGATGCAATGAACATCTTCATCTTCGTTAATAACCTCAATTTCAAGTTTTTGGCTAAAATAGAAAAAGGTAGTACAGGAAAGCAGTAAAAGCAGTATGCAGCTGTACTGTTGTCTCATACTATGTGAAGTCCCAGCCTTCATATTTAGGGTTTCACACAGCCCCAAAGGAAACCACCAGCACCAGCTCACTGCAACAACCAGCAATTAGCACTGGATGAGGCCATGGAGGGAGCAGCCCTCTTGCCCTCTTTTCCAGGTAGGAAACACTTTGTGTCCTCCTCCAGTTGGTAACTAAAAGCAGGTTACTTGTTTGGGAGGAGGTTGCCTAAGGATGTTTTCTACCTGGATCCAGACACCCCAGTTCTTTGCACAGCATGAGCCACCAAAAAGCCCAATTTAAGAAGGCAGAGCGTGACACACGAGGTGCCTTGGGGTCACCGGCCTGCGTGCCCTGGAACAAGCAGCCAGACCAACCTTAGCAGGACCTTCTGCAACACCATGAGTAAGCTCACCAGCTGCCAATTTGACTGACCAGCTAGAGGATGGTGTCCTTTTAAAACAGCTGACAAGGCCCCCCATGGCCTCATTTCTCTCTTTGTTTTCAGGATCTCCTGGGGTCTTCCAAGGGCTGCAGTGCAAACAGGCACACAGCACAGTTTACATCCTTTGCAATCATTACTTGGGTTCCCTACAGAGCTACTGAATTATAATTAAGTCCCCTTCCCTTTTGCTCCAAGAACTGCAGTTGTTAATTTTATCAGATTAATATGAGTGGGAAAAGTTACTTAGGACTGTAACCCCGACTCTCTTCCTGAAGAGTCACACTTGCAGGCTCCTTTCCGAGGGCATCCTTCCTGCCTGTGGGAGCAAAGATGCTGCATAGCAAGTGCCTTCCTGTAAAAAGCGCTGCTCTGGAGGAAGGCTAAAACCCAGACTCAGTGGTCCCTTGGGACTGGTGAAAAACACAGGTCCCAGCTGTCCCCCATTAGAATAACAGCTTGCTTTCTCCCCAAGCAGCATCTTCAAACCCTGTCTCTAACCCTGCTTTGCACACACACACAGTGACTACCTGATGGCAGCTAGGCCTCTGGAAAATTGTGATTATAGCTCCCAGACAGTTAATTACAACTAGAATTTGTGGGTAAGATACCAAAGGCTTATCCTACTTCCACGCTAGGCCACTTGTTTCTTTGCTTAGCTGCCATTTACTGTCAGATTTGAGAAGCAGGGAGAAGAGGAGGCAGCTCAGTAAAGCAACCGTGGCAAAGGTTTGCAACTACTTTGAAGGGGCCTGCAATAAGTAACCAAGAAGGGGAATCTTGATGTCAGCATAACTAAATTACAGCTCCAATGGGAAATTTCTCAGTGATCCTGAAGTCAAAACAGCAAGAAACCTACAATTCAGACTAGAAGTG